AAAAAAAAAAAATCTATGCTAGTGAAATGATTCTTGCTATTTTAGTTAGTTTTGTTTGGAAAAAATGGAGGTATTTGTTGTGAACTAGAGTTTAAGAGAAAAAGGTGAAAAGGAAAAGAAAGAAATTTTTAGGTGGCCATTTTAGTAATTTAATGCATTCTATCATCTGATTTAATGGTCAAGGGGGGTATTTGTCACAAAATGAAAGTATAGGGTGTCATTGTCACAAATGAAAGTTTAGAAGGGCATTTTTCACTAACTCCATAGTACAAGGGGTCATTGTAATTTACCCTTTTTCACATAATCATAGTGTGGACAATGGACGTGAAGCCAAAGCTAATGGTTAAAGGCAAGTATCAGTATGGTAGTATATGTATGTGTTGTGGTTAAGTTGTTATTATCAAATTGCACTTTACATAAAGAAGAAGAAGAAGAGAAAAGCATGCACAGACAAACTCACAAGAATACAATTAATAAGAAGATGCCACATTTGCTCTTGCAAACTCATAAAAGACATGGTGCTTTCTTTCTTGCATTTGATTGTATTTGTTTGTAGACTCCTATATAGATATGATGTTCAATTTCATACTTGACATTGATTTCTCTCTTTTTCTACTTTTTCTATTTGGATTTATTCTAAACAACCTTCATCCCTTTTCTATCAACAAATTCAAATTAAGAAAACCCATCTGAGGTGTTCACACTTATCTACATTCCTTCATTCCTTCACTGATGTCACTAATTAACCTCAGTTTTCTAATGTCACTTCATTGCTTCAATCATGTAATTAGTGAAACCCATCAATCGCGAAGATTGCTAAACTAATGATGTCCTTCGTTGCTGTCACTAATCAACCACGCATTTGATTAGCATCCAAATTTCTTAGAGGAAAAAAAAGGGAAAAAAGGAATCATACACGTCTAAATAGTTGGAAGAGTATAGATGTATGTGAAGGAGTTATGGCTCGGAGTAGACTTCAAGACAATCATTTACAGCATTGTTGGAAAGCTACTTTCCGTCCATTGAATCCATCCCTCTTCCTCATTGAAGGCCTGAGGAAGGTGGCATGGCGATTGACTCAAAAAGATGCAAGGGCCCAAATGCCCAATCATTTTGTTCCACGCCACCCATATCACTTTAGGGCTGAAGGGCAGATTTGTTGATGGGTGTGCACGTCAAGGCCAATATAGCCCTGCATGCGCTTATTACCGACTTATAAGGGCCTAAGACAATGTTTAGAGTGTTGATAAGATATTCCTTATATAGTTTCTTAAGATTTAATTTAGGGTCTGTTTGATTTATAGTTGAAATTGGAATTAAAATTTGTTAGAATCAAAATTGAAATAATCGATTTCCATAGTTTATTTGGTTTAGATAGAAATTAGAATGGAAATTGAAATCAGCAGGAATGGTATTTCATTTCCAAGGGATGGAAAAGGAATGACCATTCCCACAAATGGGGGAATGTCATTCCACTAAACATGAAAATGGGATTCTATTCCGCCTAACCAAATAGATGAAATGAGAATGGCCAATTCGTATTCCGATTCCAGACCCCTATTCGTGCAAACCACCTTATTTTTTTAAAACATCAATATTTGATATGATAGGTATGCAGTCTAATTGTCAGACCAACATATATATAATTTTAGGGTCCTTTTGATTCACAATCGGAATCAGAATTGGAATGATCTATTCCCATAGTCTGTTAGGTTTAGACATGAATTGGAATAGGAATTGGAATAAGTGGGAATGAGATTTCATTCCCAGGGGAAGGGGAGGGAGTGGTGCCTTCCACCAGGAACAGGAATGGGGTTCTGATTCCGTCCAACCAAACATTTGGAATCAGAGTGGCCCATTCCGATTCCGATTCTAGACCCCTATTCCCATGAACCAAATGGACCCTTAATGAACCAAAACTTTTGATATGCAAAAAAAATGAACAAGGTTTTGCTGAACGCAATGGTTGTTCAACGGGTTGTGGAACCATTGATAAGGTTCCACGCTAGTAATAAAATACATGGGACCCTCACCTTTCATAGTGGGGCCCATGAATTTATTATTTTCATGGAACCTCATCATTGGTTCTACAGCCCGTTGAACATCCATCACGTTCAGCTAATCCAAATTCGAAAGTGCTTATCAAAACTCTCAATACTTTAAACCATAGGCCAGCCTAGAGCTAGTTGGTATGTTTGGTATTTGGTTACTACTTACTACGAGTGGATTGAGAAATCAAGTCCAATAAAAAGTCCAAAGTCAGTGAAAACTTGAATGAGATATGGTTGGGCTTGCCTCGATCATTCCTTTGTCTCGACCCATGGCATGTGTTTATATTATTTACTTTTGATGTAGGCGCATATGGTAGGGCTAGGATGGTGCCACGTGGCATCGGCCAGATCAAATCCAAGTCGTTCGCTGCTTACAAACTCCAACCAGCTCCTAGGCGAGCTCAAGTATAAATAGGTGTGTCACTCCCTATGTAAGTTATCTTGGCTCTTTCTACTTTCAAGCTCTCAAGCGCTCAGGTGACCTCGTCTAAGCTCTTCCTCTCAGGCCTTGTCCAACCCCTTACTACGCACTTGACTAACTTGACCGTTGGAGTCTCTGCCCCTAGGATAACACCCGGGGCCTCTGACATGCTCTTTGATCCTTAAGTTGGACATTGCAGCCCTCAAACACATCATCCCTCGGACGTATTAACTCTCGACTAAGGAAGTGAAGTTACATTGTTGCCCTCGGCCCATCCTTGGCAACAACAATTG